ATTTGCTGACGGAGAGCATTTCACTGGCAATCTGACTTGGGGGGTTTGTCAGTCTCTCAACAGTAGCAAAAATAGTGCGAGTGTTGTTTAAGTTACTGTTTTTAAGGTTTGAGAAGAAACTCTGTCTAGCTGTGGCTAGTTCCATATTGAAAGCATGAAGGCTGTCTTTATATATGCTATAGTGAATTTCAAGTTTCGTCTTCTGTCACATCCACTCTTGCCTATGGATGCTTGCAGCTTTTCTGCATTATCTTTTCATACTCTATACTGCTGTTGATTTTCTCCAAGCTGATTTTTGTCTGCCAGTCTTCTTGCTGACTTTCACAGGAGCAATATCATCAATAACATTCTTAACTTTTGAGTTAAAGGAATCAGAATTTATTTAATACACGAGTTTCACAATTTGAGTTGAATTACTGAAATAAATGAACTTTTCCACGACATTCTAATTTATTGAGATGCACCTGTATCTGGTAAAAGAAGCACTGAAGAAAAGAGTCTCCGCAGTCGTAAGACTGTTTTTCAGCACATTAACACAAACTAGTGTTTATTTTACATGAACGTTTAGCTGACCACCTGGTAATTAATGATAGACTTGAAAAATGACACTTCATTAAACAATGTTTCATCTATGTTAACATTTTTATCACATGGAATGAAGATTTGAGATAATTCATTCATAATGTCTGATGCTGTGCATGTTAAAGACTGTGTGTGATGGTAACCTACCCAATAAGTTATTGACTTCATAAAATACAACATAATATATAAAATAAAATAGAATAATGTTTCTGAATTAAAAGTCTCAAACACTTACTGATTTTGTAATGACATCTAATAAATCTCATGATTAATGACATTTCTGATCTGACTTCTGAACTCACTTTATCACCAACTTTTGTATCACTGAAACAATAAATCTTAAAACTGTAATTTTCATCTTAAAACCGAGACCATTTTGAAAAGAAAATACAGATATGTATTATGACAAAAACTATGAATGACATATTAAGTATTTAAATATTAAGTGTTTTGTGTTGCAAGTGTTTGTTGCACATTTTGATGTCTTGATGAGGGTTCGGGGGCTCCCACTTAAAGCACTGTGGCTTCCCCACTCGAATGCAGATGCAGAGAGTGTTTCTCCACGGTGGGTTTGAACAAAACCAAAACTAGCAAGAGTTCAGCTCTAGACGGAACACTATCATCCATCATGACGACGAAAATGGCTGGCCTTGAGCCACAGTGCTTTAGGTGGGAGCCCCCGACCCCTGTCATCAAGGCATCAAAATGTGCAACAAAATCTTACAACATAAAACACCATTCATAAGCTGAAATGTGTACTCTCTCTCTCTCTCTCTCTCACACACACACACACACACACACACACACACACAGCTTGATATACATGCTCAGGACAAGTTCTGCAGTCCTACTGTATGAGTACAGAATGTACACTGAGCACCGCTGTTCAGCTGGCTCGTTTGGGGCCAAATTTCTTTTTATTTTTGATGCATTTGTATTTTTGAAATATATAAAACAATTTATTTTATTTGGAATAATTTGTCTCTTTTATCAGATTGATCAATTCTATTTGTTTTGGTCAATTATGAATGATAGGTCAAATTGAACTGCTAGCAAAAGCTTCAGAGAATTGGGTGGGGCCGAGGGGCCAGAGAGCCAGAGGTGGACAAAGTACACAACTCCATTACTTGAGTGAAAGTACAGATACTGCTAGTCAAATATTACAAGTGAAAGTTGTAAAGACAGATTTTTACTTAAGTAAAAGTACAGAAGTACTTGCTTTTAAAAGTACTTAAGTACCAAAAGTAAATTTCATTTTATTATGTCAATGCAATGTTTTATTATTGTTGTGTGTAATACTTGCAATACCTTATGCCTGAAGCAACTTACAATATATTACACCTACTGAATACACTGACTATCTTGTAGTATATATTTGGAATAAAGAGCTTTCTATGGAAGCCCGTTTCCGCCACTGAATAAAAAAAAATAAAAAAAAGGTAATTGCGACTTTTTATCTCACAATTCTGACTTTTTTT